GGCTTTATTTGTTGGATGACAAAAGCTGTGTTTTTGCTACTTTGACTAGTTTTTTTTGCCATGGTCCAACGACAATTTAATAAATTGGTGAAAGTTGTTCGAAGCGATAATGGAACTGAGTTTATGTGTCTCACTTCATATTTTCGGGAACACGGTATTTTACACGAGACATCTTGTGTTGCAACCCCCCAACAGAATGGTCGAGTGGAACGCAAGCATCGCCATATTCTTAACGTGGCACGCGCTCTGTGTTTTCAGGCTAATTTGCCCATTAAATTTTGGGGACACTGTGTCTTGACTGCCGGATATTTAATTAATCGTACTCCCACTGACGTCCTACGTGGGAAGAGTCCCTATGAAGTCCTTTTTGGAAAACCGCCCACTCTTACACATCTTCGTGTTTTTGGCTGCTTGTGTTATGTTCATAATTTGGATCGTTCGGGTGATAAATTCGCCAGTCGTAGCAAAAGGTGCATTTTTGTATGCTATCCCTTTGGGAAGAAGGGCTGGTCTGTTTTTGATATTGATACTCGCCAGTTTTTTATCTATAGAGATGTTAAATTTTGTGAGAATCAGTTCCCGTTTTCTACGGCAACTAGTTTTTAGGCTGACTCTGTCCCGCATCCTTCTTCTACACCGTGGCCTATTATTGATGATGAGTCCTCATCTATGCATGATACTGTACCGGTCATTTCTCCCGATCCCGCATCCTCATCTCCTTCTGGGCCTACTGTAGTCAGGGGGGGTTCTGACTCTATAGTGTCCAATGAGCTCTTGGGTCGTGGTCATCGGACGAAGTTTCCTTCCGTCAGGCTGCGCGATCATGTCACGAACACTATTATTTCCCCCCTATTCACTCTTCAACCACTTCATCGTCCTCAGGTACACCATATCATTTATCTTATTTTGTTGATAGTACTGCTTTCTCATCTGCCCATAAGATTTTTTTGGCAGCTATAGAGGCCTCTGTCGAGCCACGAACTTTTACCGAGGCCATGGCTGACTCTAACTGGCGTTCTGCCATGAAGTCTGAAATTGAGGCTCTCGAGAATAACCAAACCTGGAATATTGTTCCACTTTCTCCTGGAAAAAATGCCATTGGATGTAAATGGGTGTACCGCATTAAGCATCGGTCTGACGGGTCCATTGAACGCTATAAAGCTCGCTTAGTTATTCTTGGGAACAAACAGGTTGAGGGTGTTGACTATACTGAGACCTTTGCTCCCGTCGCCAAAATGGTGACTGTTCGAATTTTTATGGCCATTGTTGTTGCCCGGCACTGGGAGTTACATCAGATAGATGTTCACAATGCATTTCTCCACGGTGATCTTGCTGAAGAGGTATATATGAAATTGCCTCCTGGTTTTCGGTCTCAGTCTTCTAATCTTGTTTGCCGTTTGAAACAGTCTATATGGCCTTAAGCAGGCGCCCCGGTGCTGGTTTGCGAAACTAACTATGGCACTTCGCCAATATGGTTTTCTTCAATCTTATGTCGATTATTCTCTTTTTACCTTGTGTCGTGATGGTGTGCAGCTGCATGTTCTCGTGTATGTTGATGATCTAATCATCTCCGGGAATAACAGTGTGGCTATTTCTTCCTTTAAGGCTTACTTAAGTCGTTGCTTTCATATGAAGGACCTCGGCATTTTGAAATACTTCCTGGGATTGGAAGTCGCTCGCAACTCATCTGGTATTTTTTTGTGTCAGAGGAAGTATACCCTTGATATATTGTCCGAGGTCGGTCTTCTCGGGGCAAAGCCGGCCTCCTTTCCACTAGAGCAAAATCATCAGCTTCCGCTTGTCACTGGTGCTCCACTCTCGGATCCACAGAAATACAGACGTTTGGTAGGAAGGCTTATTTATCTTGCTGTCACTCGACCATATTTATCTTATTTTGTTCATGTGTTGTCCCAGTTTATGCACAATCCTCTCCGGGCTCATTGGGATGCTGCACTTCGGGTTGTGCGCTACTTGAAAGGTACTCCTGGTCAGGGCATTTTCTTCCGCGCTGATTCTGATTTACGACTCACTGCTTGGTGTGATTCTGATTGGGCGGGTTGTCCAATTACGTGGCGTTCTCTTACTGGTTGGATCATCCAACTCGGATCTTCGCCCATCTCGTGGAAGACAAAGAAACAATCTACTGTTTCTCGCTATTCCGCAGAAGCAGAATACCGCTCCATGGCTTCTACCACCTGTGAGCTAACATGGTTGAAGTCCCTTTTGGGAAGTTTTGGTGTTGATCATTCGTATCCAGTGTCTCTCCATTGTGATAGTAAGGCAGCCTTGCATATTGCCTCTAATCCGGTGTTTCACGAGCGTACCAAACACATTGAGATTGACTGTCACTTCGTTCGTGATGCACTCTTGAAGGGACTTATTGCTCCTCATTATGTTTCTTCCTCGACTCAGCTGGCAGATATTTTTACTAAGGCCTTAGGTGGACAAGAATTCACGAACTTTCTCAGCAAGTTGGGCATTCGGAATTTTCATGCACCAACTTGAGGGG